GCGTCGTGTCGGCGAACGCCTGTTCCTCGAGGGCGCGGGTACATCGCTCCACCAGAATCGGCGCCGCACGGCTGGTGGTGTCGAATTGCGAGCACAGCGCGAGGCCGAACACTGCAAAATGCGACAAACATTCGTGGCGATTCCGTGAATTCTTTGCACGCGTCCGGCACGACTACGGCGGAGAGAATTTTGAAACGCGAGACGTACCTTAGGCATGCTGCGCTGCGCCTGAGGTACGTCTCGCGTTTCAAAATTCTCCGCTGTGCCTTGCCTGAGGTATACTCGCCTCTTTTCAAACGAGAATTTATAAAAGCTAAAACCTTCGTCTCTCTAACGCAACATTGTGACTAATTACGACTAAACAAACATTCCTTCGTATAATCGTACTTCATTTATTCTTCATATCTCTCTCTCTCTCTCTCTCTCTCTCTCTCGTTTTAGAGTCGAGGCACGTCGTGCGATCGATCGCTGGATGAAGCAAGTGCAGCGCTTCTCTTTATCCATGAGGCCGCGAAATTCAGCGAGGACAAAGCGACGAAATTGCGTAACGCCAGCGATCGAGGAATACTTGGAGCAGAAGAATTCCTGACGGTTCCCCGCAGATTTTCGCGCTCAAGCGGACAAGCCGCTCCTCGTTGTTTTATCGCCTACGGCCGCCCGCGCCTCCTTTCTTCAATCGTCCCGTCTCTCTCCGCTTCTTCCTCTCTCCTCTTTTTTTCCCCTCTTCGTTTTATTACGGCTGACGAACCTTTGACTTTATTTTCGCGCGAGGATATACGGCACGATCATATTTTCAGACACGATCCCGTTTTCTCTCTCGCTTTCTCTGTCTCCCGCGAATACTCGCGCGTACACACGCCACTTGTACAATCAAAGACGCGTGCATTATGACGAGAAAGAGAGAGAGAGAGAGAGAGAGAGAGAGAACGAACGGAGAGAACATTGTGTAGGAGGGGCAAGAGGAAGAGGACAAGGAGGAGGAGGAGGAGGAAAGAAATTTATTTTTACGACCGCGACGGCGACGTCTTGTTTCTTCATGACCGTATCTTCTTCTTGTTCTCTTGGAGGACAAGTGACCGAGAAGAAGAGAGAGAAGGGAGGAGGGAGGACAAAAAGTCAGAATTAAAACACGATCTATACGAGAACGTAGGCACGCACGTGAATTTTATGCGCGGATGTAAGGCGGAGGCCATAGCCGAGCTATTCGATATTCGTCACGAATTCCGAATGTTGCTCGTCGATGCGCGTGTAACAACGAGAAATCTCACTGAATCGTGCCGTTGTACTCCGATAAATCAACGGCACGAGTAAATACGTGAGATACGCGAAGCTCTCGGATTTTGGACGCGATTTGCAGCTTCCGAGACTCGGCTTTAACCCTTCGTTGCTTGCATGGAGTGTTCAGGATAGTCTTATATAAATTCGCTAAATGTATAAATGCTATTTATACACGATATTACTCTTTAAAGTTTTTGGAGTGAAATCTGCTTTTATAGAGTGAAAATTAAGCCAGTCTTGAAAGAGTGGCTCAATTTTCAATCTTTAAGAATGAGATTTTATTCTTCGGAATGATAATTCAGTCTAAAAATTTTAAAGTATATTCGTGCAAATTGTTTCACAAAAATTAAAAAAGATTTATATTATATTTATTTTTATCTAAAGAATGTATAAAATATTATCAATCTTTATTTTATTATGAATTGTCAAAGAAAATAATGAAAATTGAAATAACATTGAAATATCAGAAATATTCTATGCGAGTAATTAGTTATAAAAAACCATGCGAGGTTGACTTGTCGATTTTCGTGCTTAAATTTTGACGAGGTTTCAACAATTTCAGATTTTGACAAATTGACGAATCAGGAAAACCCAGAAGTTTATAAAAATTACGTGTTATGATTTCTCTGCAGTGTGCAGTTAATGCAAGAAGTAAGTACGTAACCAGAAATGCATTACAAAAATAGCAGAAGCACTGAGAAAAAAGTTTTTAGTACTTGTGACTACTAGTATATTAACTGCATAGTAAAATAATAATTATTAACAGCTTCATTTTTATAGTTATTGCTCTCTAATGTTAGCATAATAATATAATTATATATATAGTTTTATGTATCAAACAGAATACATGGTCCTCGAAAACGACTATAATTTTATAGACAACCATATGTTCTTCTTTACATAGAATTACATAAATATGTATTACATAGTTCTATACAAGAACTACATATATAATTATTATTATTGACATTATAACAGTAATAACTATAAAAATAGAGCTCCTAATCGTAATATTTTACAGTCACAAATACAGTCAAAAATATTTCTCTCATCGAGCGATATATCGAGCGAATGCAATTAGAGACTCAAGCCGATCGCCGCGTCATTTTCAATCAACTTTCCAGACGCGGAGGCAGGTGCAATTTGTGCGGGATCGTCAATGTCGAAGTCGCAACCGCGAGTGCGCGCGGCCTCCGCACGTGACTCGAATTTTTATTCGGCAGAGAAGCGTAATTGTCCATCGTTGCACCTCCACGCGCGCGTCGCTCGACCGGGTCGTGCTGACGACTCGCCCGCGCGTGTATAAGCGATTAAACGCCACCAATTACTACAAATCAACCGGAGCCGACGCGACAATCGCGCGCGCGCGAAATAGGTGCGGCGCATCGCGAGTGGTTTTTTTCTTCAGCACGGGGGATTAGATTTCCCGCAATCCCTCAGGAGTAGAGTTACTCTTTTAAGAATACATATATGTTTAAGGTCGTAAAATCTTCTGGTCATTAATTAAAATTTTATATCTATATAAAATTATGTTAATAAGAATTGTCAATAAAAATTATGTTCTTCAAGTTTTATTTTATTAAATACCTACATTTAATGCACAAAAAATTATACCCCTTCTTTCTGCCTTTGGATCTTTTTTCAAAAAGTATATATTCTTTTCTGATTTAGATATGGAAACGAGAATTTATTAGATTCGATCTCCTCCCACAACAGATTTCCGGATGAAGTGGATAACGAAATCAAAGCGCAATTAACGTCCTGCATACTCGCGGAGCGCCCCCGAAACTCTCATTCTCTTTCCAATAGTTGTCCATTGTCGCGGAAATGCACCCAGTCCATTAATATCATCAAATTATATCAATTCTCTTATCGTTATTCGTCGCAGCCACGAATTGGCGTCGCGGACAAACGACGTTATCAGCGGGACGATAATTCCGAGCGATCGATGCACCGTCGCGCAGTGTGTACAAACGCAATTGGCGACGGGGGAACGGTTAGAATAAATGAATGAGGGATCGAGGGGGAGGGGGGAGGGGGACAGCGCGGGGTGACGGGGTGACATGGCCCTGAAGGCTGGCGCCGCACTCGCGGTTTTGCTATGCACAAATATTCGATTCCGTCATTCGCGCCGCGGCGTGTGCAGCGTTAATTAAATGCATCACTGGAGGCGCACGTTGACGGCACGAGCGTTGAGCCTTGCTTGCGTTGTCTTTGCTGATTATCGTCGTCTGGAAGTATTCGCGCCGTTTAACCATCTCGCCGTCAAAGGCACACATCGCACCTCCAACTGGCGACCGGCGTAACTTAAGAAAATTTCCGGTGTTCTAAGAGCTCGGTTTATCGGTACAAGAATGAAGAATAACTAATAATAATAGTTGGTAAAAAAACTACTCGGTAGATAAGACAAGGTGTCTTGACAACTATACTATAACTCATGAAACGTCATTCATAAATGTAAAATATTAAAAAAGATAAAATTCTTGATCTAAATTTCGAATTTTCCCTAGAAATATATTTTATACATATAAAATATACATAAATGTATATAAAATAATATATAATCGCAAATTTGATAAAAAAAAATAACACAACTCAAAAAGTAGCATTTTTGAGTTAGTGGACAAGAAATCAACACACTGTAAAGACATATTTTTTGTTAGAAAAACAATACATTTGTAATTTTCATCGTAATTTATCGCTAAAAAGCAAAAGTGTCCCCTATTTAAGCTCGTAATAATTGTTTATAAAAAAGAAATATTTTTTAAGTTTTTAGACACTGTAAAAAGGAATGTTATCGGCGCTAAAACAGTTATAGAAAAACGTCGCATTTAGAGTTAAGCCATTTTTTAAATGTTCGAATTCAGAACTTAAAAAATTTTTTCCTAAGAAAAATTACTAATTTCGAGATGTGTTATTTTTCTATCAAAAAAGCGATATAATATATAATATTTTATACTTTTTTTTAATAATATATATATATCACAAAGTATAAAATATTACAAAAGATAAAATCTCTTTTAACATCGATTCCCAGAAGACTGTTTCGTTACTTCTAAGAACGAATATACTTTAACATTTTGTATACGGAAACGCGAATGTTGACAGAGTTGCGGAAGTACAATCGCAAAGATCGAATCGGAATAAATTCAATCCGCTGAAATGCTGTAGACTACCGTATTCTTGCAACGTCACACCATGGATAGTTTTTACGACGTGTAGAACATTCCAAAGCGAAAACTGCAAAACCCATGTTGAAACTCGTATTCTCGGTTAAGGATCATTAAATGCCAGCAAGTGAGGTGACTCCTACGCGACCGCTACGCGGAGGGATTTCAATGGAAGAAAGCCGTCAGCCATGAGGTGCAAGCCTCCGTAAAATGATCCAGGTTATCATAACGAGGCGCGAGCGACCAGGCGCCAGGACGGGCGTCCTTGCCGTCAACTTCGTAACTCGAATACGATTGCCACGCAGCTGGTTACGATGCTAGCAATCGTGTTTCTGACGCAATGTCTCTCCCGCCTTTGAAGAGACAACTAAATTTTTCAGCGTCTTTCCGTGTTCTATACATTAGAGACACGATGAAGGATTAATGGGCGGTGCCACGTTATAAAATTTGCAACGGCGACTGCGGCAATCCGAGCGACGTGACTTACCTGAAGTAAACCTGCTGATACGATTGTCCGAGTCGACCGATATGCAATTGGAAGGTAAACCCGTCGCTGAACACGTCCTGTGAGAGACCAGCCCGCAATCTGCGCAACGTAGAAAATTCGCGAGATCAACAACGCGAAAAACGCACATTCCTTTTTTTTTTTTTCAGTTCACTTGTACTGGTTTCAGAATTTTATTCAGAGCGATTGTCATGCAAGAATAAACACGAATGTTACATATTTAACGATGATGGAATTTGACAACTCTCATATAAAAATTTTTACAGGTTGTGTAATTTTTGAAAGATACATTATATATAATGCTATAAATTCATTAAGAACGGTCATTAATCTAAAGAATTAATTAGAAATAGAGCAATATAATTTGAAATTCTTTCAAAAGCGCAAAGGAAGTCGGCGAATGCGAAGGAATTAAAATGCGCGAAGTGATTCAATCGAGCTCTTTCGCACGTCATCAGTAAAGTTCAATTTATTCAAAAAGATACCCAGCGGACTAGGATTTAACAAAGGTCGACGTCGATAAAGGACGGAAACGTACCTTGACAGAGGAAGCCCTGGTGTAAGAGGCCCCTGAGGTATTTATGGCATTTGCCGCACTTCTCCAACACGCTGAAGCTGTGCGGCACGAGGTTGTGCGCGTTATTGGCCAGGTTGTTGCCCGGGTAGTTGACTCCGAGGGAACAGGCCGATTCGACGGCGACGCCGGGTGTCGGTGTCGTCGTGTTGAGCGTCGAACCCATCGTCTCCATCGCCGGAGGCGGTGGTAACGTTTTGCAGAGTTCCTCGATGCACACCAAAATGTTCTTCTGATGAAATTCATCTTTTATACCCATATTCTGCAACAAGAAATCATACGACGATGTCTCGCATGCGCTCGAATGGAGAAAGACACACCGATCCGGTTCTTTTAAGACATGTTACGGTTTGAATTTAATCTTCTCGCGACGACGACGGAACTCCAAATAGATAAAAAAAACGTTGCAAGGAGAAATGAAATGCTAATCTAATGAAACAACGATATTCTGATTCATATATTTAAATGTTTAATTTAAATTACTTGCATGGCTCGAATAAATAAATATATTATCATAAATGATAATTTAAAATATTAAAATATGTTTAATGATTTTATGATATCAATGTTTTCCACGTAAATTTTTGATAAATCATTATAACTCATCATGGTGACTCTCCATAATAAAGGCGCTAATTTTATATCAAGAAACTATCAAGAAATGTTTTAAACACGTCCAAGGATAAAGTGTATGTGAGCTGTGTGTAAGATTAGTTTAGAAATAAAACTATTCCAAAATATGTTCTATAGAAAAAAAAAGAATTCCTCACTTCATTGAATATTATTAAAAATACTCAAAAAAAGTAAAATTAAAACATGAGAATAACGTTTGCAAAATTTGAATTCCAATAAATTTAAATAACTGTATTTTCAAGATCGATTCAATTAATTTAGAAATATCATTATACTTGTAGTATTATATTGAAACATAATGTATGTAATATATTGCATACAATAAATATTCTATTAAGATTCTATAATATAAAAGCTGTAAAATGATCATTTTTCGACTTGGAACACTTGAAGACATAACTTCAGACATGTAACTTTTCATCGATTTAATGTCGTTGGCGCCACAGAAAATGGCGGGGTCCTTCGGGACCAATTCTACAGAATCACGGACCGAAAGAGACTCTTTCGCCATGCTGACGGTGAAAACGTGCGCATATGACAGTTGTAAATCTGCTAGAATGTAGCGCAAGTTAAGATCGCAACGGCGCGACTATAAAGAGCGAGTATATAATGCGTGACAAAGTCAAGCGTGGAGACAGTTACACAGTGACTAATGAGGGAAAATAATATTCTTGTCATAAATAACCCAAGCGCTAACAAGAGTTCAACGTTTCGGAGATAGCGGACCGATTAAGATCCACTGGCCCACTTTTTCGCCGACGGAAATCATCGTCTGGTCATTCACAAACAGAATAATTTTGCCAGTTGTTTGTCAAAATGCTTCGCCTATGATATCGCGATATTACCACAAAACTCTACAAAAAATTAAATTAGTCGTGATTTTTCGATGTGATCGTTTAAGGATATCTGTGAAAGCATTACCAAAAATATAAAATATTTCATAGATTATTCTATTATTAAGTCTGAGTATCTATGCAAAAATTTGAGCTCAATCTTCTTATTGATTTAAAAGTTAATTAATTATTTTGTTTGTCTTGATTTTTTTTTGTAAAGTCACGTTTTATAGTATTTAATTGCAAATCTGACAGTCATAGCATACGTATTAAATCAAATTTTTTATATATACTAATAAAACTTTAATTATAAATATTCGTACAAAAGTTTGTTTGGATTTACTTATTCATTTAAAAGTTATTTGCCTGAAACTGCAGCAAAATATAGTCATTTTGTTGCATAAAGCTATTATAAATCAAATTATTTATTCTGTTTTTTGCAGTTATCTCAAAGCGTATTTATGACAAGACAAAGATTTTTTTGGCTAATATTTTAGATATTATACAACCACAAAATATTTTTAAAATTCCGCTTTAATCAATTTTTTAACTTTTTTTTAAATGAATATAATTTAATAGTAACAGGCGGCTTCGGATTTTCGATTGAGAGAGTTTCAATTTTCTTAATTCTTAAGGAAGTGTTCTTTCATCGTTGTTTATAAAAAAATCAATCGGTACCGCACACCACAGAATACATTTTGCATTTTATTCCGTAATTATATTATTATATACGCCTTTTTATGTGTTTTTAAGTTAGTATCCAGTATTAGTACATGACCTGTTCAACAAATTTACTGCAAGTTTCAGACTTTCTGAGTCCAGCCCCATGGAGATCGTTCGCGATCGTTCGCATTATAAATTACAGCGTGCCGCCTTTTCGCGAACGAAGCCGCGGAAAATACTTTCTAAGAATGGCGATAACGCAAAAAGAGCGAAAAGGAGAGAGATAATTCGCGGGTACCGCAGCGGTAAATCAGTCAAGGGGGACGTTGAGGAGTCGGGAGCACCGCGCTCGTAAAAGGGGTGAACACACGCCGAACGGGCGATCGTAATTTATACGCGTCGTTACGACCCTCTCACTCGCTCTCTTTCTCTGCGTTCTCTCTCCCAGCAGGCATCTCATTTTCCCTAGAGCACGGCCAAGGCAACAGGTGTCGGGTGTGCACCGTTGCACAATACCTGCACCGGCGCTCGCGAAGAGGTATAATGCACCCCGCGGTTCGCAAATTTGCGATGCGAGTCGCATTCGCGTAATGGAGACCTTCGAGAACCCGAAAGGCTTTTGTCATCCGTTACAGTCACTTCAATTGCGAATCCGTATCTCTGTTGCGGAGAATACGTCATACCGCATGTTAATAGCTTGGATCGGTGTCTTTGATTGTTCAGGAATATTGTGGAATGTCGACAGTAGCTGCTCGACGTGTCGTTTCGCATATTTTAAATAATAAAGAAAGAAGAGAGAAAAAAATAAAGAGTATTACGGGATCGAAATATTTTCGCTGGAGGAAAATTAAATATCTAAAATGTCGAAAAATATCGGCATAGACAGGATAGCGTGAATTTAAAATAATTTTCCTTTAAAAAACAATAAAAAATACATATACATATGCTCTATATAATTATGTGTATCATTAAATATTTTTTGAGAGAACCTCGACCTCAAAACGGCTAATTCAAAAAACAGCTAAAATTATAGCTGAAGCAAATATAATAATTATATAGAATAGCTTATACAAACTATGAATATAATCACAACTAAAACATAACTCTCATTCGTTCGTACGAAGTAAAATGATGAAAATTCCATATTTCTACGTTTCTTAGCGTCCACCTCTCATGCAAATGTGTTAAGAACTCGTCAAATGTGCTAACAAGCCGCTCGCGATTATAGAGACGAGAGTTAAAAATGTTCGCAACCTTCGTGCGATGTAGAATGATATACGTCAGTGAATTGCATATTTGCTGCTAGGCGCGCTTGATGAGATAATCGTCGAGCGATTAATCGCGCGTTAATCACGTTATCTTAATCGATCTATGTCGACCGATTCAATATCGATGCGATCGTGAATAGTACCAGCAAGTCGTCTGTTAATATTGCCTTAGCTTTCTTTCCATGTTCACGTCGTAATTTGAATTCCCCGCATTGTGCTACAAAATTCACGTTACGAGCGTGGAGCGAGCAGATTTGATCAGAGCATTGTTTTAACACATCGTCGACGCATCTGATCGAGAAAATTGCGTTTTCCGTCTCCTATAACACTAGTTTACAAATTTTGGTTAATTTTTAATATAAGAAAAGAGAAACCATCTTTTTAACGTATTTTTGGGCGCTAAATTTGAACCTGCCACCAAAAAAATTTTATCAGATCAAAGTTTTAGAAATATAGCATGTCAATTTTAAAATATAACATAACAATTTTTAAGATAGATACACCATTTCTTTTCGAATAATTTAGGTGTGAATAACAGAGTTTGGCCACGGCAAATTTTTGAATAGCCCATTATTTTTGTCAGCTTCAGTAATTTAGAATGATAGTATAAGTTAGAATAAGATATAAAATAGACAATACATATATATTCTTCTTTTTGGCAAAAATGCTCATGGCCAGACTTTGTTATAGGCTCTCTAGATGCGACAAGTGACAAGCAAGGTGAACATTTTCATCGGGATTAGATGATGATTGAGAAGCGTTATTACGGATATTAGGAACATGGCGACTACTGTTATAATACGTGAAATTGACTTAAAGTCATATAAAAAACAAAAATTAATCTCTCAGCACTTCTGATTTGTTGTTTTTTAAATTCAAATAAAACTCAACTACATATCGAGAAAATTTTTCTTACATCTCAAAAATCAGATCTGATAAAAATATTTTGGTGGCAGAGATTCGGGATCAGTATCGAAAATTATCCTAGAAATAGTCTTTATACGCTCTTGCACAAAACTTGTGAAGTAGTGTAATTTAACGATTTGGTCTTGGAGTTTATAGCGTCTGGTTTAAGGAACACAGAAAGAATTTTTCCTAAAATATCTAAAAATTTAGCTAGATACAGATCTGAAAATAATTTTGTTGAACTATCAAAATAATTACAAATTTCAAACATGATGAGTAATGCAGCAAAAAGATTTGACATTCTAGCAAATAGTTGAGCGTCTTACATAATTATTTTTATAGTCCAACAAAATTATTTTCAGATCTGTATCTAGCTAAATTTTTAAATACTTTAGCAAAATCATGTACTTTCCGTACAGATTAAAAAATATTGGAAAGTGAAAAGTAAGTACATATTCTTCAAATATAAAATCCTATAAAAACGAGAGAGACATTAACGTAAAATTGAAACGCCACCGTTACACTACGAATTCTCTGTATCCGTGCAATGTACATTTCAAACAGTCGAATCCTTTGATAAAAGACGCGGCTTCTGTCCAAAGAGAGAAGAGGAAGCTGTATAAAAGAGAGACTCGAAGAGAAAAGTTGAACGGAACGGAAAATAGAAGTGAACGTGATTTCATTTTACGTAAATTGTCTCTGTACCGCAAAAAAAAAAATAAATCCGGTTCTATACAGAAAGCACTTCCGGCAGCTGGTTTCTTTTTCAAATTATTTGGCTATGTGCGCGCGCGCACGCGCGCACGTTCTCGCGCGATGGCGCGCTATTTCGGCCGGCGCCACGTCGCGCAGTGGGCCAAACGCTATTATTAGCGGCGACAAGCCGGCAAAAGTAAAGTGATCGATATATTACGCGGCCGTGCGAGAACGCGGCGATAAAATTTGACGCGCTCGTTATT